TAACGCCACATATTACAAAACACGTTCCACTCTGATCGGTCGGCCGATGGGGCTAACAGTAATATCACAGAACTTTCCGTTTGTTGCTTGCTACACGTGATTGTAGATTGCACAATTTGTGAAATCCACAGGTCCGATGTATGGATTTTACTTAGGCCTTCATATCTCCAAGCAACGTTCTGTTGAGTTGGGGGTGCTCGCTCACCTTTACTTTTCGTTTTCTCAGCTCTGGTTTGATTTTTTCTACAACGCATTTGTTTATACTACCAAAAAGGCTAACGACGCAATGTGTTTCGCTGCATAATCGTCTACTGCCTTATGAGGTCCGATGTGTAATTTGCGTTGATACAGTCGAAATTACTTCTGGGGCACTTCACCACTTCCGGAGGATGTGGCGATTTCGATCAGAAACAAATTAATCAAAATACACATTTGCTGAACGGAATTCAAGAATCCGTCTATTTTCATTACAGAGGTGTTCGAGGGTCTCTGTGATGAGGTTTACTGAATAGGTTTTAATGTGGGTGATCATCCAGTTCCACTATATGCCTCTTTCATTAGTCTGTGTGTGGTTTTGACACTGCCACAAACCATCTGATGAAAATGAGGTAGATTGGACGTGTCGGCCGAGTAAGGAATCCCACACAAGTTGGTTGAAAGTATTTGGCCTTTTCTGTTACACTGTCTGTTTCGTTTTGTTGTCNCCTCGACTGATGGTAAGACGTTTGGAATCAAGTTGCCCAAATCGGTGAACAAACGAACGGACGATCAATGCGACGGTTATCTGCTCTTCCAGACTAATGCTTTACTGAGCACGAGTCACGTGCAATCTGTTATGTGGAACTGAAGAACCGATCAGAAGCGTTCACATGTACCACTGCTCGTTTAACCTGTACAAGCAAACGTACCTGCCCTAAACTGGAATTTTGCCAAAAGACGAGAACCGGATCGATAAGTTCTTCTGGGGAAGGGAAAATCAGGTGGAACCAGCGATGAATTCAAATAGGGTGCTACTGTCTGCTTTCATGAACTTGGGCAATTTGAGCGATTCTCTGTTTCAGAAAACCTGTTGAATTGCGTTGTTAAAGGCCAGAGAGTGTTAGCGTATTTTATTGAAGGCGGTTGACGAAGAAGCACAGGATCAATGTCTAACAATATCGTTTTTCTTCGTAAAATATCGAACAGGTGTGTATGGTAATTCTCCCCTCCAACTGCGTCAGAGTAATGGATCTAATACGGTTGTTTCAGAGGCTGGATCTGATCGGAATGAAAAGTGTGTGTACGGTTGCTTCAGGAATATTCTGGAATGTGTGTATAGAGGGATTTGGTCATGATACTACGTTCTCTGGCCATTCGCCCCAAAACCAGGACGCATAAAGTGTCGTACGCACAAGACCAGTAACGAATACGAAAAAGCCATTGTCACTTGAAGTCTTGATGATGGGACGGAAAACGACGGAGTTGAGTTCAAATCCAAGTTGGTTATCCCCATTATATAATGGGAGACTTCGAGAGAGATCAGTGGTTGATGGGAGAACTTAGTGACCAGAAGGTCCGTAGTTCAAACACAACCTAAGCTTCTCGATTGTTCCCATGTCCAGGTTTGGGCAACTTGACAGATTCTCGGCACTCGTGCTTCTTTCGAGTGGCATGGCAGCCAGGCACTGAACGATCATTTTTACCATTTTTTATAATACGGGATAGAACGATGTTTTTGGGCACAGTCGGCCCTCACCTTGAAGCCAAGCACATGATGGAAACAGTATAGTTTGCTTGAGTGTATCGGAGTACCTGTGTAACGGTGATACTACTGATGGGGGAGACATGCAAGTAGTATGTTTTCTTCCTGTAAATTTGCTGTGCGTCTCTTGAAAAGGGAGATCTGTTGCGGAATTTGTGCAGTCGCTTTGGAGCATTTGCTTGGATTTGAACAACAGCCAATGAATATCCAGGAACGTTCAGGAAGGTGCGTTCAAGAGAAGAGGTATGTTTAGTTTNACCTGCTCTAAATTGGAATTTTACCAAAAGACGAGAACCAAATCGATAAGTTCCCCTTGGGAAAGGAAAATCAGGTGGAACCAGCGATAAATTCAAATAGGGTGCTACTGTCTGCTTTCATGAACTCGGGCAACTTGGGCGATCCTCTGTTTCAGAAAGCCTGTAGAAGTGCGTTGTTAGAATCCAGATAGTTTTTGCCTATTTTGTTGAAGGCGGTTGACGAGGAAGCACAGCAACAGTGTCTAACAATACCATTTTTTTTGGAAAATATCGAACAGGCGACTATGGTATTTCTACCCTCCAACTGCGTCAGAGTGATCGATCTAATACGATTGTTTCAGAGGCTGGGTTGGATCGGAATGAAAAGTGTGTGTACGGTTGCTTCAGGAATATTCTGGAATGTGTGTATAGGGGGATGCGGTCATAAGACTACGTTTTCTGGCCATTCGACCCAAAACCAGGACACCTCCATAGCATAAAGTGTCGTACGCACAAGACCAGTAACGAATACGAAAAAGCCATTGTCACTTGAAGTCTTGATGATGGGACGGAAAAAGACGGAGTTGAGTTCAAATCCCAGTTGGTTATCCCCATTATATAATGGGAGACTTCGAGAGAGATCAGTGGTTGATGGGAGAACTTACTGACTGAAAGGTTCGCGGTTCAAACACAACCTAAGCTCCTCGATTGTTCCTACGTCTAGGTTTGGGCAACTTGACAGATTCTCGGCAGTCGTGCTTCTTTCGAGTGGCACTGAACGATCACTTTTTCCGTTCATTATGATACGGGATAGAACGATGTTTTTGGACACAGTCGGCCCTCACCTTGAAGCCAAGCACATGATGGAAACAGTATAGTTTGCTTGAGTGTATCGGAGTACCTGTGTAACGGTGATACTACTGATGGGGGAGACATGCAAGTAGTATGTTTTCTTCCTGTAAATTTGCTGTGCGTCTCTTGAAAAGGGAGATCTGTTGCGGAATTTGTGCAGTCGCTTTGGAGCATTTGCTTGGATTTGAACAACAGCCAATGAATATCCAGGAACGTTCAGGAAGGTGCGTTCAAGAGAAGAGGTATGTTTAGTTTTTGTAAATAAGGTGCAAATGAGAGCTTTGCTTCCCTGTCCAATAGTTTGTAGGTGGACAGTTGGCATTTTTTAATAGGTAACTCCACAGCGAAGGCCTTCTTCCTTTCACCTGTAGTCTCCATTGTGTTTTTATGGATCAAACGCTCTCGAATACTAACGGCGACTGTTTTAGTGGACCGAAAATATCGATTTTATGTGGTGTGTCATTCAAGTTCTCTAGTGAACAAAATGACAACGGTTATCTTTGTTTCAACTAGTTCCGTGATGTGCTATAGATGCGTAAACTGATGAATATGCACACAATTAATTTACAGAAACACCATCCATGGTAGAATTCCACGACGAAGTTTTTCACGCCCGTTTTTATCCAGTTTTTGAGCTCCAGTAAACCCTCCAAAGGTAACGCTGTCGACACCGTACAAAAATATATTCTCTCAGGTGCTTCTTTCATTCGAACAAAACAAAGCGAAATCAGAGAATTCCTCTTCATTTTCGAAGTTTTCACCCCTCATCTCTACGGGAGTACATTAGAAGGGGACCATTAAAACTGCAGCTTAACCTCTGAAGTTGCATTGGTGCACACACTGTGTGGGTAGCCTTAACGCCAGCCAATGAGATCACACGTTAATGTTCCCCAATGGTCTTTCCTTCAGAACCCACAGGATTTTGGCCTCCATCAGCCTACGCTGGCAGACTACCAAATACAACATGACGTAATTCCAGACAGAACTTCAGCCGGAGTGAGTACTTCTTTGACGTAATATCCACGAAATCTATTACTAGACAGGGGACAAGGAGAAAACCGAAGTGAGAAACGACAGCCTTGCTGAAAGCACCACCTCTCAGAAGGTAAGCTGAAGGGAAATTTTGAATTAAAATGCTTCCTCTGACAAAGGTTCAGCGGGAGCCGAACATTTAAAGATCTCCGTTACTTGGCATCCAGGGTTGACAGGTACCAGTCAAGTGCTACCATTGAATAAAATAATCAGTCTTGAACATCTGAGCACAGTTAGAAGGCCGTGTTTTATATATATATATACCAAAATGTCAGGCTTGATGTTATCATGTAGAAATTGAGATGGTGCTTTACTACTGATTCTTCCAATGGCAAGCTTAACAAAACTGCTTGACAGCAATGCAAATGAAAAGTATCAAAATAGATTTTGCCAATTAACGGTTGTCAAACCACTTAACACCTGAGCACAGTTAGAAAGCCGTGTTTTATATATGTACCAAAATGTCAGGCTTGATGTTATCATGTAGAAATTGAGATGGTGCTTTACTACTGATTCTTCCAATGGCAAGCTGAAACCGACTTTGAAATCCAGCCCATTCCTCAACAGCAGTGATTTCAGACATACGAACCTTGCTCAGCCGCATAGTGGAGAAATCGTTCAGAGGTATTCTTAGCAAAAGACATTCGCATTGAATCTGTCCGCGAAGGTTTGTCATTTGATACACCCTCACTTACCGCGTATGTTGCCCATTCTGGCGTGAAGTTTTCGGTAGCCAGCTGAAACCTTCCGGGGGGAATTGATACACTCTGTGTGGGAGAGAGTACTGCAGATATTTCGGGCGGAATGATTCGAGTATTTCATGGAGTTGTGATGAGTGGCAGCGTTCGGGAGAGAGAAAAAGAGTTATCCAGTTTTTGAACCCCTGTTTAACCCAGTAGATGGCTTGGAGACCAGTTCCGTAAATGTCAATGTTAACTGTAGACAGTCATGTTCTCAACAGTTCTCTCACTGTCATTCCGCTCAGGACAGCGGTGGCAGTTCGGAGTCTAGCTCACGGAGGACTTGTTCCAGCTAGTATTGTTTGCATTTCTCGGTCAGGAACGCAGATTTCGCATCATGTCAAATATCGCTGTAATGTCTTGTCTTTAGCTGAGATATCCAGCAGTTGTTGCGGTCGGTCACCAAGTTGTGGATGGATTTTGAGGTACCGGTGTAACATATCTCTCAGATGCATAATCGGTGTGTAATTGGGGCATTTTTCTGTTCAATAGGACATATTTTGTTCATGTGATGTTTCATATCTACCGTCACACACACACAGGACATGTGAGAGGCTAACGAATTCAAGGTCACTGTCTTCTCATTCGAAGTGAATTTGCTTCCCATTTGCCGACAGTTTTTATATGCGGGGTGGATGCAAATAATTGAAAGTAGTTATCATCAAAACCGTTCTTCTTTATACAGTTTCCCATCAGGCCGTGAGATCTAGTCACCAGGATTTTGAGAAACTGATGCTCTGCCTTTCACATGCATGCATGGAAAAGATTTTGGGCATCTCGGAATTTCGTCATAACATGCTGTTTGTATGCAATATTTCTGCTATAATTTTTTAGAAGACACTGTACAGAAGTAACGCCACATAGTACAAAACACGTTCCACTCTGATCGGTCGGCCGATGGGGCTAACAGTAATATCACAGAACTTTCCGTTTGTCGCTTGCTACACGTGATTGTAGATTGCACAATTTGTGAAGTCCACAGGTCCGATGTATGGATTTTACTTAGGCCTTCATATCTCCAAGCAACGTTCTGTTGAGTTGGGGGTGCTCGCTCACCTTTACTTTTCGTTTTCTCAGCTCTGGTTTGATTTTTTCTACAACGCATTTGTTTATACTACCCAAAATACTAACGCTGTAATGCCTTCGCTGCGTAATCGTCTACTGCCCTAAGAGGTCCGATGTGTAATTTGCGTTGACGCATTTTAAATTACTTCTGAGGCACTTCACCACTTCCAGAGGCTGTGGCGATTTCGACCAGAATCAAATTAATCAAGATACACGTTTGCTGAACGGAATTCAAGAATCCGTCTATTTTCATTACAGAGGTGTTCGAGGGTCTCTGTGATGAGGTTTACTGAATAGGTTTTAATGTGGGTGATCATCCAGTTCCACTATATGCCTCTTTCATTAGTCTGTGTGTGGTTTTGACACTGCCACAAACCATCTGATGAAAATGAGGTAGATTGGACGTGTCGGCCGAGTAAGGAATCCCACACAAGTTGGTTGAAACTAGTTGACCTTTTGTGTTGCACTGTCTGTTTCGTTTTGTTGTCGTTCATCGTATCGCATACAGCGGGTGAATAGCGAATACCTGGCCCGGAGCCAACACGTTGGTGCACAGTCGGACATACATACATTTCGCAAGGTTTACTATTGACAAATGATTTGAGCGTCGATATTTGTGTAGCACGGAACGCGCGGCAACCAGATGCAGATTCTTGTAAAGTCGGTCAAGTCGTCAGATGGACCGAAGCTAACTCAAATAATAAAACTCAGAGAAGCAAAATAGTTCGACTTTTGGTCTGTACGCCGAACTCGGTGGTTGGATGGCAATAGTTCCATCACTCATCAAGATGACATCATCAACGAGGATTCGGGCGGGTAGAGTCCTTCTCTTCTGCCCGTATTTATAAAGATTACAAACAGCACCTGGTGACCCCAAAATGGCTGCTTCCAAGGTGGTTGTCATGCAATTTGGTTAGTCGTAGTTAAATCTGAGTTGCGTTCTGGTCTCATTTTCTCGTAGTTGGTTGGCTTGTTGGACGCTTTCAGTCAAACCGATCTTATCTAGCCTTGAGAGTAGAATGTTCTCTTCGTCCTTTGTGATCCTAGTTACTTCCACTTGATTGGTTGGTTGAATAACCTTCTATTTTTAGTGGTTTTCATTCTTTGGTTCTGATTGTTCAATGGTTGTTCCGGCTGCCCTGTTTAGATGCATGCAAAACAATGTCAAGTCGCCTTCGTAGATTAGGGGGGCAGGGCGATGCGGGGGGATTCTTAGTGGTCTAACGAAATATAGTACAACCAACAGTTTTATAGGAATGTAGTAGGCGCCTAACTTGGCTATTTGCCGTCATCACACTAAAAAGTACATGCGGATAGACTAGATAGGAGTAACTAATCGATATCCTGGGCATTACACGATAAACTATTTAGAGAATTCATTTTCTTGTCTTTAGCACTGAGAGAACCGTGATACATCCTGACGGTGCATTGTTGCCATGCCACTCGAAGGAATCACGGAGCTGAGATAACAGCACTTCGTGTACTTCTAGCCAGGACCAGGTGAGAGACTGATGCCAGCTGTTTTGTTCCACAACGAGTTTCCGGCAGATTGTAGAATTTGCAATAGATTTGCGGTGGTGTGAACAGACTTGGTAGTTCTCAGTTGAGCCACTTCTAGCCAGGGCCAGGTGAGAGCCTGAGTTTGGGTTCGAACCACAGAGAGGAAGCTCGTGTCTTAAATATTGAGCTATTTCGAACTCAGAGACGGCGTCTGTACACTATAATGGCGAATGTCGGGTTTGCAACCGATGGCGGACTTGAATTTGATTTTTACATGTCTTCCATTATGGAAATATAAATCAAAAGGGCGTCTTCTTGAATACACCACTTTGTTTCGAGACATGATATCTTAATAGCCTCTGCTCAGGGCCACTGCAGTTTGCTTTTTCTGAGAAGTGAACAATGATAGAAAAATTTGTTTAGCTACAGCACTCTTTCGGTGCCTAACTGGGCTGGGATACCGCCAGGTTGCCCGAGCCTAGACAGGGAAAGCGAGTGTCATAGCTCGGGTTCGAACCACGGACCTTCCAATCAGTAAATTCGCGCTCTAACCACATGGGCCATCTCGCTACCAATGATAGTCAGGGCAGATTCACCACGGACAAGCAAAACAAAAGAAACTCATGCGAATCCTCGACCCGGACAGAGAGATTGTCGGAAAACCGGTCGATAAACCTGCCGTGTAACTTGGTCGTTCTACCCACCAGCCATTGCCAAAGCAAAATACTTTTTTTGGAAACCGGGACTTTTTATAGCTTTATGACTAGCGAAGGTACAAACTGCAAAAACGTGAGCATAGGACTTAACTGTTCTCACTCTGTTAGCTCGATTTGGTTCAAAAATCACTCGGTGTCCCTGTGAACACAAGTGTGTGGCGTGCAAATCTTCAAGCGTTTGAGCCTTCTGTTTACATAAACCTGGAAAGTGGAACAAACATTATTGCTGCAAGCACAGAAATACACATTACAGAACATCCATGGCTGTATGAGCTATCCCATAAAAAAGCGGGATACGTCCGCGGCGAGGTATGTTTGTTGCCCCTAGAGGAATTCGTCCCCAGCTAGTATCAGTGGGGCATGGTTCGCAGGCACTTTGAAATGCCGACCAAGAAGCGGATTAGGTGAAGTTTAGCTAGATCGAAATTCTGACAAGTGCGGCATGATTGAGTAACACACTGCTCGGAAAGTAATTGATCTTCAATCCCGTAGCACTCAGTAGGTGTACGCTGTGGGAGAGCTCTCTCAATCTGTGCTACGCCAAAAAGCATGAATGTCACTCTCAGATGAACTATACTCTCGGAAATCTATACACTAGCAGTACAGCTGCACTGCTGTGGAAAAGCTTCAAGCTCACCAGGGGACTTTTTCAAATTTGCATTTTGCGCACAAAAAATAGTGATCACGATCCTTCATAAATAGTATATCACCAAAGTGTACTGAGGTCAATCCGACATATATAAACACTACCACATCTCGGCCATATGTTGAGCGCTATTCAAATCAAACCTGTCATATCTGCTGATTCGCCAATCTGGGGTATCTGCTGCTGACACGCTCCAGTGCCTAGTGTCGGAGAGAAAAGACTCACAGAACGGAACACAACAGCTGTATTCCGAACAAGCGAGTGAGTGAGAGAGCAAAAGTTACAACGGCCCCACGCTATTTAAAGGGGACTTTCTGACATTGATCCAGGCTGTCTGATAGGCGTTAGTGATCACCCATCAACATCGATCGTGCCTCTGTGAAAAGCCTGAACACTGATCACATTCGGTCGTGCTTCTGTGGCCGCAAGAACACTCATCAGGTCTTGCTGAATTGATTGAATGATTGATTGGCCTGGATGCTTGCCGGCTTTCCAGTTGAGTTTTTGGTGGAGCAGTAGTTTCCGGGCGTTCTGAAGTTGCTCTCCGGAATCTGACCTTCCTGATGAAACCTTTTGAGTTTTTCAAACTTCGTAAAGTTTTTTGATCTTAAGATTGTAAAAATTAAGTTAGTTCGTCTTAACCTCCAGTTCATCAACAATAGTCCACTTTAGTAGAACCTGAAATCCACTTTGAGAGTGTTCTTAGAGAGGTAAACAAGGGTAATCAAGATCACGATCTAGGTATTTATCGACCCTACCGTTAGAGGAGGTATGTTGCGGGATATCCCGATTAAGTGCTGAAAAAGTACAACAGTATTAATCAGATTCAGGCAACTTCCAGTTTTAAAAATAGCCTAGTGATGGAATATTGATGACTGGGGTGCATTCATAGGAATTGATCAGGTAGCTGTTGACCTGTTCGTCAGGCTTAGCAGACCTCTTAGAGACTTTGAGACTTAGAGAGACTTAGTGACTTAGAGACGTTTCGTCACTATCTGAGGTCGACTTAGAGACGTTTCGTCACTATCTGAGGAGACATCTTCAGTGCACTGTCGGGTGGGTGGTTCCTCTCTCCGTGCTTGTGCATATACAGTTTGCAAATAGCCGCCTTGAGCTGCAACCTGATTGGCTATTGACAATCAGTACCGCATTTAGACGATTGTGGTGTGTTGCGTGGTGGTCCGTCTTCTTGTTGTTTCATTGGATGATGGCATGCCTTATGTTTTTATTAGTTTTCTGTCTTCATATTGACTGGCCCACATCCAGCTCGCGGTTTGTAAGTATGAGCCTGGTCCTTTGGTCTTGTTTTCCGCAGTGGATCCCACTCTTCTTTCGATTGCTGAGGTTTTGTAGGAGATGCGGTCTTACCATTTTCAAACAAGTTTCTTTTCCTTTCGTGACGATCCTCTCATATTTCCTGATACTGTAATGGGCATCCGTTATCATTAGCCTTACCATCCGTTCACTGTTGTTTCTCGTGGTCGCTTAGGCCTGTGGGTGGTTAATCGGTGGCCGATAATTTATGCTACGTGGAAGGCTGCGGTTTGGCGAGCACTCACTTGGCAGCGAAAGCCTCCCATCGACGAGCCGTTTTGAAAGCAGAACGCTTAGTGACATTTCACAAGACCCAAAACGCATATATAGACTGAATCCACACATACACGGAAGATTGATGTCTATTTTATCTGTTCTTTTGTTTTTCCCAGCTGGAAGCTGAATTGTCGAAGCAAAAAGAAAAGTACGAAAGTGCGGTAAGTGATGGCCAGCTGTTTTGTTCCACAACGAGTTTCCGGCAGCTTGTAGAATTTGCAATAGATTTGCGGTGGTGTGAACAGACTTGGTAGTTCTCAATTGAGGTTCGTCCCGATGCTGAAAATCCGAGAAGCATTGCACAGCCGTTTCATTCTTGTTGGGGATCATGAGTAGCAAACTTCTAAGCATCTGAAAGTACGATCAGCAGCCCTCTGTAGGGCGAGGTGAAGTTTGGAGTACTGGACTCAAAGTTGTGCCAGATGGTTCTTGGCTAATACAGTGTATCTTCCATAAGATGACCTCGAATGTGGCCAGGTAACGTGCCTGTCTTGCTACTGAGAATCTTATTGGCTTGAGTACAGCTAGTCATCCAGATGGAAATGTGCGTAAATTTGAAGTTTCCCACACACCATGCTCTCATTATCGATAAGTTTATGCCACTCTTTAACAAAGCGGTACCATAATCATAATCACATCAACTCAGCTGGAACTTATGAAGTCAGATAAATCACAAATAAACCACACACTAACAGTCTTCGCGTCTGTGGGTCAAACCAACAACGACAACAAGGAAAACTGCGCTTTCGTTTCGATCGTGACCGTCACACTACAAAATACTTTGGGACTTAGAAGGGGCATGATCGAACTCCCTGCTGTTGGAATCAGTTGATGGAATTCCTGTCAAACGCTTTCCACACAGCTTGGTAGACCTGACGCACATAAACATACTTCAGTCAGTGTTATTATGTGCCTAGACGGGAATGTTTCCTAAATTCTTGTGTGCGTAATTATCGATCCGGGCCAATGAATCAAATGACTGAATAGGAAGGGAAAAATCAACTGTGTTTGGATTTGATGATGTCAGTTTTGGGTGCTTTCGGTATGTTTCATGATTGTGACAAAAGAAATTTGCTACAACGATGGCACGGATTTATGTTGTTCATTTTTCGTACTTCCTTTTCAGCTCAGGGAGTTGGAGCAGGTAAGACAGGTACGTTCCTGTTTTAGATTAGCCGCTACACTGGTTAGCTGTTTTTCAGGCCAATGAACCTAATCGAGTCATTTTCATCAGAATGTCATCATCGATCATGCGTTTTATGATCAGTTAGAGGCAAATTAAAACTATCTTGAAATGACGGAGCATTCCTCTTGTAGCCTGGGAAGTGTTACAAATACACACCCCGTCCCGTGCCGTCTACCTTAAGTCTAACGAAAATTTTATCGTAACTTCCAACGCGCTAGTCATACTCCCGTCAGTATGGTTATTGTGAGTGATGGTATGCCTTACTTAACACATATATTCTTTATTAGGTTAGATCCCAAGTGGAGAAAATATCCCAACTGGAACAAGTACGTTCAATGATTGGCCGTTTGTGTTCATTTCACAATCAGTTGAATCTCAGGTAGAATCATCCGCGGTATACCGCTCCTACTTCACTGACAGTGAATTGCAACTACCCCGTTGATTTTTCCTGCATGGACCTACCTAATTCCGTTCTAGTATTCGTACCTAAAATCCTCCGATTGGAACCCAAGTGCATCAGGCAAAATCGGATGCAAACTACAGTCGGAATGTGTGAGATCAGGCTGTACTTATCATCTTTTTGCGAACAACGGAGGGCTGTGTTTTGAACCGCCGTTGCGGTTCAAACGGCAGGGGCACTTTCTGTTGTTTAACAAGCGTGTATCATGTTCGTATAAAAATAGTAAACCAATTAGGCAGACTCAGTTGAATCTCTCCTTCGTGATATTCGGAAACAGTCAAATTTGGGTTCAAGTAGAACATGAGGTTGATGAAAACTCGGAGAGTTTCCATCATGGGCCCGAAGTGGAAGGGCGAAACCGGTCGTGGGCTGTCGAAGAGTTTTCGGCAACCTTGTGAGTAGTTTCTTTCATGAAAAGAGTGTATCATGTTTGTATAAAATTGGGAACGAATTAGACGGAGTAGCTGTTTCATCCATATTGCACTCATTAGCACTGCCTTGACACTGGTCCAAGCCAGAGACCAATATGTCAGGACAATTCTCACTTGAACACTTTGGATGTAGTCAAAGCATGATGGTCAGCGCTGGTCAGGTGCCAGGCTATGGAGCAACCACCAGGTGAAACACACTGTAATAACGGCGTTCCTCTTGGAAGACACCATCTCACAGAGGAACAACTATGTTCGAATTCCGAGACCCCTTCTTTCCTCCTTTGTCGGTAATCCGCTGGTGAACAGCGTTCTTCCGGAGAACTTGCACGTGCATTCAGGTGATTTGATTCGAAATCTCAACCAGTCGAACTGTAGTAGACATGAAACGAATGAGTGCCGGAAAACGTCCCGACCGAGTTATAAATAGCAATGCATACCAAAGTTCGATGTGAAAGGGAGATGCCGATAACTTCATCATACTATGGACAATAAAACATGCTTTTTGATAATGCACAAGAAAATTGAACCCCAATTGCAAGAAATTCGGATCCACAACGATTTGTTTTAACCAAAGTTTTAACTAGAACCCAGATAGATCACTCATGTATGACACTGTTCAGTTGACTCTCCTGTTCAAACCAACTTGGTGTGCAACTTGGTGTCCGAATAGATGAGGAAAATCTGTTCACGTGATAATCACCAAGACGAGGGAAACCAATAATGAGCTGTCGAATCGTTTCCAGCAAAATTGTGAATAGTTTTATCCAAGACGACATACCGGGATGTCTGAAATGTCTACCCAACTGAGGTGGCCTTTGTGCAGTACACTCACGTGAAGAGTGTCGTTAACGATAGATTCAACTGGGATTCAGTTGAGTCTCCGTTCCAACTGGACCTCACCGGGGCGCAACTTTAGTTTAGTTTAGTTTAGTTTCCATTCGATCAGTCCGGGTGACGAATGATTGAACGAACAACTGTACTTATATACATCGTGGGCCCATACAGAGCTCAAAGGCTGATGATTTATGGGGCAAAGCATGCGGATGACCCAACCGTTCTTGTACTGCTGTTTTGTTTCTACAGGAACTTGACCAGGAAGCCAACAGAAGAAAAGCCGAGAGTGAAAAGGTAAGTACGGGTGCATCTCGAAAATTGTCTATGCTAAGCCGAGTTGCAGTGTTTCATTCGGTGACTCGAGACTGCCTGCTCGAGTCCACCAACCAGAGGATCTACGGTTTGAAGACAAATATGAATTTTCGACTGCTCCTGTATAGAGACTTGAGCATCTTGGCACTAACTCATCCATCCGGCTTCCTGAAGTTGCACTCCATTTACGTACTGGAAGGATGCGATTGCCTGAGAATAAATCATGCCCGTTTAATCAAGTGACAGAACACCCACTCTATTGGAAGCTCTCTGACGTGTGAAGACTGTCCAAAGCGACTCGCGTGGCTTCATGTGGTAGGATAACCAAAAGAGTTTACTATATGAACCCCTTTACATCATGCTGCCTTATTTAGTGGCAGGTAGTGGAACAGGTCTGAGTAGAAGCAGGGGAAGCTCTCGTGTGAAGACTGTCCAAAGCGACTCGCGTGGCTTCATGTGGTAGGATAACCAAAAGAGTTTACTATATGAACCCCTTTACTTACAGCTGCCTTATTTAGTGGCAGGTAGTGGAACAGGTCTGAGTAGAAGCAGGTCGTCTGCTTGTGATGTCCAGCAAAAGTCTTCTGTAAACTTATGCTGGACGCCTGTGAAATCGCACTGTGGTCCCACTGAAAACCTAACTTTGGAGCTCTAGGATGAATTTCAAGTTCTAACTTACATCAAGTGAGGTTTCCCTTCCTTATACCTACCGTTTAACTTAGAACAGTTTGTGGTAACCTTACCGAATTGGATGTTTTTCCAAATTTTTCGGACCAACCTTTTACCTTATGTTTGTTGTGTGGAAACTCATGCTGAAAAGCCGAGAAGCATTGCACAGCCGTTTCATTCTTGTTGGGGATCATGAGTAGCAAACTTCTAAGCATCTGAAAGTACGATCAGCGGCCCTCTGTAGGGCGAGGTGAAGTTTGGAGTACTGGACTCAAAGTTGTGCCAGATGGTTCTTGGCTAATACAGTGTATCTTCCATAAGATGACCTCGAATGTGGCCAGGTAACGTGCCTGTCTTGCTACTGAGAATCTTATTGGCTTGAGTACAGCTAGTCATCCAGATGGAAATGTGCGTAAATTTGAAGTTTCCCACACACCATGCTCTCATTATCGATAAGTTTATGCCACTCTTTAACAAAGCGGTACCATAATCATAATCACATCAACTCAGCTGGAACTTATGAAGTCAGATAAATCACAAATAAACCACACACTAACAGTCTTCGCGTCTGTGGGTCAAACCAACAACGACAACAAGGAAAACTGCGCTTTCGTTTCGATCGTGACCGTCACACTACAAAATACTTTGGGACTTAGAAGGGGCATGATCGAACTCCCTGCTGTTGGA